AGGTGAAAGCATTTTTTTTTCTATGAGGATATAGTTTGTAAAAGGTAGAAATACATTGGACTGATATTGTGATTTATGTTTTTTGTACCCCTGATTTTTCCTTGCCTTGCAATCTTGTACTGAAATCTTGTTAACTGTCAAATCTGATGGATTTAGTAACACTGAGACATCTGAGGATATCTCACTTGCCTTAACACAAATGGGCACCAACTCAGAATTATTCAGCAAGCAGAACTTTGATTCTTGCCTTTTTTATTTACTTATTTTATTTTCTGTATGGCTGGAACTGGGGATTTTTTCCCCCTGTAAGCCCTGTCTGAATTTACACGGTAGGTGTTCTAGGGGGCGTTGCACTGCACCCTCAGTATTTTCCTATGTTGCTCAGCTCAGATGCCTGTCAAGAATGCACACACAGCTCGCTTAAAGCCTCCCGAGGCATTTCTCAAATAAAAAAGCTGTTCACTGCTTTATTTCTGAAAAGAAACCTCAAGGGACATATTCAATCTTGTTTGCTTGTGAGTACGTATTCACTGGCTCCACCAGTTACAGGCTGAGTAACTGGGATTATGCTCCACTGACAGACCTGTTGCTGAATGGGCTTCAAGAACACATTGCTTGCTCTGCAGGAGAAGTGATTGCTTTGGGATTGGCATGAGAGAAAGTGGAAGGAGAAAAGAGGAAAAACCTTAGTAACCTTGCTTTGCTCTCTGAATTGTGCACGCTTTGTGCATGGCTGATATTTGTGTCTGAGCTCTCAAGTCAGCACCTATTACAGCTGTGGTGCCTTAAGGAAGTTTGGAAGCAACTCTGGAAACTCATGGCTTTGCCACACAGAGCCTGTACATTTTCAGTAAATGTGTCTGGAACGTTGAACTGCTTCCTGCTAATAGCTGCGATTTTGATTGCTTTAATGAGTTGCAGAGGCTGTGAACTGGCAGCTCTATTCCCCTTGAACTCACCACTATGCTCTATGCATCTCAAAAGCTGCTAAAAGAGCAACTGAACTCATGCTTCTTGTCTGCACTCTGAAAAGGAAACCTCTTCAAAGTCTTTCAAGTGTCCAAAAATTACTGGGTCATCTAAGAGAGGAATTGTTAGCTAAAGTGGCCTTAGTTGGTAAAAGCCAGTAAGATCTCCTGGTCCTGGGTAGCTGACCTAGAACTGAAAGCTTGACATCAAAAAGTGCATGGGGACCCTTTTAGAAAGCCAATAAAGAACTGAAAGGTAGGTGAAGAATAGGCATTGTAGTTACAACAACAGAGAAATCAACCAGACACTCAACTTCTTGCAAGTACAGTCCACACTGTGGGAATTTCTTTGCTGTACAGAAAAGTGCAGGTAAATGCTTCATTATCATTTTCACTCCCGCCATTTCACCCCCCCTCATCTACCAAAAAGAAGATCTGAGCATACCCAAGAGAACTGATTTAACTCACATGAGTACACAGAGTACAAGCACTGGACGATGTGGAACAACTGAAGACCTGCAAGGCTTTCTTCCAAGTCTTCATCTAAGGTGGTAGGTGAGAGGCAAAAAACCCCCAAACCCCAAGCAAACAGAACCAAAGCTGTTGGTTTTTATTTACTCATTTAACCTCAAAATCTTTCAAGGCACCCACCATTTGGAAAGTGGAGGCTGAGCACACCACTCATGCTTTTCTTCTTCCTAGAACCATGTCAAGCTCCATTTGTGCCTGGCACTGGAACATTTCTGAAAGAGCTTTGTTTTTCTAGGGAAAGGAAAATCCATATTTTGAGGTGACAAATGAAGCTCTACTGCCCCTTAGCATGGGTTTGGAACAGGAGGATGTTGTGGTAAGCATGATTTTTTTTTTTTTCCTTCAGAATTTCTCTCTTTTTTTTCTGATGACCACATCAAAAATCTGCTCAGAGTACAAATACACTTGTAATAGGAACTGAATTATTTTCATCATTGAAAAACGTATGCCAGTAACCTGTTGCTCTGTACATTCATTTTAATGTCCCGACACAGCCTGCTCGGAGCCAAGCTCTTGTCTATGCAAGCCAAACAATTTGATGCAGATGCCCTCTTGAGGAGAAGAAACAATTCCAAAGGAATTCTGCTTTTAGGAATTTATTGACAGTTGCTGAGTTCACCACAGCCTGTGTCAATAATTGTGTCATTGTGGTCTAAGTCCTAACTTTCAGCTCTTTTAGCTACTGCCCTCTGATCTTCAATAAGCCTGTTGCCTGCAACTTGAGTTTACAGGTAGCACCTGTGTGTGTTCTGGTTTGTGGTATCTATCATCTTGTTGGTTTGTTTGTTTCTTTTTTATCTCTGTCTTATCTAAACACAGAGGGTTACCTTGTGTTTTACAAGCTCATTGCTTCAGGGGAAGGTCCTTGCACTTTTGACTGCTCTGTAAGTGATAGGAGAGGCTTGCAGTACCAAGCAAAGTGATCCTAGCCCTCTCCTCTGTACCATGAGAAGAACTCGTGGATAACTGCATGATTTGTTTTCTTCTCTGTCATTTTTTAGTGCAGAAGATGACTCAGATCACAGGGTTCCTTGCCAGGCCTGGAGGCAGCATTTGGTGTTCCAAATGGCAGCTTTGGCAATGCTGGTATCAGGTAAGGAGCCCTGGCAAGAAAAAGCATGACGTTGGCACTTCCTAAATCCTGTTTAGGAGTTACTTGTTGTGGCAGAGATGCTGCCTGGATTATGGGAAGGAAAGAATATTTATTGCAATAAGCTTTCAGCAGGGCATGCTCTGCATGATGTTTCTCAGCCTTTTGTTTTCTCCATGATGAATTCTTCCCAGTGAGATAGGAGGCAAAACCTGGTCCCAAAAGAGCAGTATTTTGAGCCAATCAGTATTTTCATATTATCTTTCCATGGAATAATTCAATAATTGGTGAAAGCAAAAACCTTCAAGTTGAAGAGAAAAACCAGACAATCCCCCCAAAATCCTTCTCCCCTGATGCTTTTGCTGCCTTTTTTTGAAGAAAGGATGCTCTTCTCAGCTTCCATTTTTATGAAAATGAGAAACTTTTCAGACAATATTCTGTTTGTGTAATGCCTCTGCCACAAGGTTTGTGATAGGAAACAGATTTTTCTTCCTCTCATATGAGGGAAAATGTATTTTTTTTTTATTATGGTACCTGTTATCCTGGGCACTCTGTGCACATCTGGAGCATGAGATAGCCTGGACTTTCACAGCACATGAGTGAATGGAGAAGTATGGTGAGGGAGGGGGAGCTGGCCTGGTACAAAGATCAGTTCAGTTACTGTCTGCTCTGTTCCACCACAGATCACAGTATGCTGGAAGTCATTTAGGCATCTACCACAAATTACCTGGAAGAAGGAGAGACCGTGAATTTTAATTGCCTCATCAGGCATCAGCAGGATCAGTCGTCACAAATGGAGGCTCACTGGTATAAAAATAACAAAGAAGCAAAATGAGTCTGGGTTTGCAAAGGACATGGAAGGTTTGCACCACTCCTGAAACTTAAACCTCAAAAGCCACATCCTCCCTTGCTCTGAAAATTCAGAATATCAAGCAGACAGTGGCCACTCTCAATGCAGAGCCAAAATAAAGAACACTGTCCTGACTGCTCTGGGACTCTTTATTAGGGTGAATGTAACAGGTAAGCTCTATGTGTCCAGGAGCTTTCTAGCAGCAGGAGTTGTGAGATCACATCCTTGTCTCTGAAGCAAAATTTCTGCATGCTGAAAACGGTTCATGGAGATGTATCCTCTCCTCCTAGGGTGTGAAACTGAAAATGTTTGCTGCCACGCTGTGACATGTGGAGTAAGTTTCATACTCCTCTGTCTTTTCATCTGCGCATGCTAAATGCAAGACTGACATGTGAAGAAAAAATGTTGGGGATTTGGTTTAGATTGGCTGTGGATCTCTCAGAGCTAACGGGAATAGTTTCCCATGGGGTTTCTACTCTGAGCACTGTTGCCACAGATGAAAGGAATAGGGTGGAAAATGCGGTGTGGGAAAATATATGTCAGTCTTGGGTTAGCTGCAGGTCTGTCCCAGTTCACCCAGCATCTGCTCTATAGCCAGAGCTTCATTCACAGGTAGGAAAGTTCTTTTCTCTAAGATGGAGATCTGTGTATTTTCTTAATAGGGGACCTCTGTACGCAAACAGTGCAGCCTTATAGCCTCTTGGATGAACTGTAGTGTACGTAGACCTCAGGAAGGATTGGTGCTTAGAGGGAGTAGGACTTGAGATACGGCAGCCACCAGAGTTGTTTTGTTCTTATTGAGGTGATTTATTTCTCTCTTGCTTCATTACTCAGATTAAAAAGGGATGAAACGTGCAGTGGCAGTGCCCCTGTACAATAGTTTCTCTACAGGTCTTAACTGTCTGGTTATGGTATAGTGTCTTCTACTTGTGACAAGTGACTTCAGGTCCAAGCCTCCAGCAGAAGGGAATATATCTTTGGCATAACTAGCTGAGGTTCTCATCTGGTAGTTATAGTGGTGGTGAGGTACTAGAGCTCTTTTAGGATGGTTCTGATCAGGGCTAGGCTGAGAAACCAGCTTGTTATAGTGGTGGTGAGGTACTAGAGCTTTTTTAGGATGGTTCTGATCAGGGGCAGGCTGAGAAATCAGCTTGTATTCCTTCCAAGATGTTCCCAGGTTTGTTAAGACATAGGGATTATATCCATCTTTTCCCTTCCTGAAGGGAACATCTCTCCAACATATTTTGATTAAAAATAAAATAATAACAATAAAATTCAATTACTTTCCTGCCACTACGTTTTAGGTAAAAGAAGATGCAGTTCTGCAGACTTTTATTAGCATGTTGGTCATTATATCTGGTGTGAGTGTTGTCAATACCACAAAGAGGACAAAGGGTGACCTGAAACAGAACAAAGTTTTGAGGATGGATTCTGAGCTGGAGAAGATGTGGGCTGTGGTCATGATATCCTGGATAATTTTGTATGCCAAAGGTAAGAAGATTATCTCCATACCTACCTCCCTACCTCCATATTTCTTTTCTGGGGATAGAGCTTATGGCTGATTTTATAAAATCACAAGTCTCACAGGTGGATTTCTGGCATGGCCCTTATATTTAATGACTTCCCCTTTCCCACTGTAATAATTTCATAGAGGTTAGCAGGCTGAAACTCCCCAGGCGGGCAGATGAAATGGTGCCAACTAAGTTGCTTTGGTTTTGGTTTTCAGTGATTTTGCAGCAGGTGCAGCAGAGCTGGATTCTGGCCAACATCCACAGCAGTCACCCAACTCAGTGTCCAATTCGTGATCATGCCAAAACAGAATGCACAGAATGAGTACAGGACCATTGTTTTATGGACTTCAGATTCCTTCTGTGTGGCTTTTTGGGAATATGTAGCTGTGTGCTAATGTGACATAAGGTGTCTTGCAAATTAAACACTGAGGCTGAGCTCAGGCAGTTAATTTAGATATGTGAAAGTCTCTCGGCCAGATGACCACTCTGTATAACCTTTGAGATGCAGTCTTGCATCCATCACTTTTTTACCAAGCTTGTGTTTTACTGATTTGCATTTGTACATTTTGCTCCTGAACACCAGGAGATTTTTTTTTTTTTTTTTTTTTTTTTTTTACGTGTTCATCTTTTATTTTTCCCCCACTCAAGGGCTCATGCCGTGAAAACCCTGTCTGTGGAGTCTGGGCTGCTTTGCTTAAACAAGATAGTTTTCCTGAGATGCTGTAAGAACAACTTAATTTTATTGTGCATGATGAATGTCTGGGATTCACGTTGTGTTTCATGGCTCACTTCAAGCTTTCAAGGGACTTATTTCTGGATTTTCCGGTACTGGTTCTTTGGGATTATTCACTTTTCCTTTAGCCCCATCTACCTCCCGGGCAGAGAAGAAGGATTTCTTCCTGTCCTAGAACTGAAATTCTCTCATATCTAGTGTCAGTTCTTCCAGGTTTTGCCATCATCAAGGCAATGGACTTCTCAGTGTTGGTGCTCCTTGAAATGAAGAGATGGTTTCTTTCCAGCTGTACTTTCCGGGACTTGCCTCCCATAAGGGGAGGTTTTCCCTTCCTACTAGAGCTCTCTGTGTAAAGAAGAATTTCCTGGGTTCTCTCATCTGAAATGTCTTCTGACATATTTATAGTCTATCCTCTGTGCTCTTCAATTTGTTCTGAGAGAACTTGAAGCCCTCATTCAACTCTGGGCAGTCTGTGCTCAAGTGAGTGATGCACAGGAAGCAGGAATGAAGTCATTGTCAAGCTCCTTGTTTTGCACACAGAAAGCAAAACCAGGCATGTTTTACCCTAACTGTGGGATTTTTTTAAAGGCTATTTTGTCTGTAGTCTTTTAACTGTGTTGTGTCCCTCTCCCCTTTTCCAAGTATTTACGTAAATTTGCCTTCTGTGTAAGAGGTTCTCTCCTAGGACTTAAAATTTGGTACCAAATGACAAAGGGAAGATGGTTATATCTATACCTGTTTCTGTGGTTATGAAAGCTTGTCTGATGAGCGCTTCTGACCACTGCCATGTTCTTCAAGCTTGGATGTGTGTGTAATGTTTTTGAATGTCAAAACCGACATGTATCTATCTGCTAAATAAATAAGTCAAGTGATCATTTATCTCCTCATCACTTTGCCAGGTACCTGATTGTTTAGCATCTCTGAAGGGCTGCAATCGCTGCTGCTGTGGGAACCTTTCCATCAAAGGCAGCCTGATTTGGGATTCCTGTTGGAATGAAGGTGTGTGATGCAGCTTACAGAACCAGCTGCTTAAAGGGCATCCTTGAAGCTGAGAAGCAGTAACAAGCAGTCTTGCTAGCTGGGGGAAGGGAAAGAGAGTCAGGAAGAGCATTGCATGATCCTATGTTTTGGGCTCCACTGAACCAATTCAGACTGCAGATATTTTTAGCAGTGTCCTTCATCAGGTAGTATGCTGTACAATTACACATCAACATGATGTTTCTCATGTAGGTTGGTGTAGCTATGTTTCCACCTCCTGGCAACTAAAAGGAATAGCTGAAAGGAGACTAAAGAGAATCATGTTTTTATTTTGGTGAGGCACTAGAAAATGAAGTAGGAAGAAGCTCCTCTCTTCAGCTTGAAGAGTTTTTTAACTCTTCAAAGGTCAGTGTTCTATGCAAGGTATAAACATAGAAGCTGTTTCCAAATAGTTTGCTTGCACCTACTGTGAAAATCAGTGCTTGAAGTCAAAGGTCATAAATACAAGGTGCTTGCAGCAGGACTGAAAGTAATAAGATACCAGACAGTCATTTTATATTGAGGGAGGAAGCATGAGTGTATATTGATGGTAACTGGGCACAATAACAGCCTTAATGAAACTCCAATCTCTAAAATACCTATACATTCTGCCTATTAGAGAAAACAATTGTTACAGTGTAATGGGGAACACAGTCAAGACTTTAGGTATTCGATGAGGTAAGTGCCCTTCATTAACAAGAAAATGTTAATTTCCCTAATTAAAAATCTCTTTCAGGTGTCAGGATGACCTCTCCCTGTCTCTCTTTGACAACAATACAGCCAGAGCTGGGTTTTGTTTCAGGAGCTGATGACAAACCTATAGTGCTATTTCTTGCTCTTTGCCAGTCAATACCATCTGCTTATTTCACAGGAAAGACCAAAAGACCTTTTGGTAGCCACCTCAGAACTGCCTTGAATGAACAGGAAAAAGATAATTTTGAGTAGATAGTGAAATACGTGCTTCTAGAACCTATAAAGAAATGCATGGACTGCTAGTCTGAAACTTCCAGATCAAAATGTCTTTTTCAGTGAAAACTGATTTTCAAGCTGTCTAAATATGTTTGCAGCCAGGATCCCTTATGAGCATAATGATTTCACTGTTCCTTATGCCCTTATTAACTGCATTAAAGGTAGTGTGGGGAAGTTCTGTGGCACATGTATGTATGAGCCTGGTTAAGTAGAGGTGCTGGACTCGACAGTATTGAATCTGGACTTTGAGTGAGGTTGTTTTCTTTGTTGTTCAGTTGTAGGAACTCCCATGTAAGCTGCAGTCAGTGTCCACAGCTTGTCTTCTACATGATGTGTTGCAGCACTCAGGAAAATCATCTTGGAAGCCTATATATGTTGAATCCACATGTTCGAAGGTGCCTCTGGTGTATCCCTTTTGATGCACTTTTTAAATTCCTTTAGCCAGCGGCTGTTTATCATTACAGAAGTCATAAACTAGCTCTGACACTAAATCATGTAGAAGCAATGTGCAACCCAGATTTTTGTTGATGGAAACTTTACAAACACCCAAATAACTTTTCCTGTTTTACACAGCTCATGGCTCTCCAAGAAGGGAGCAAAGGAAGAAAAGAGGTGAGGAAAACGGAAGGGGGGGGGGAGCACTGCCAGGACCATTTTGCTCTCCTGTCTTCATTTTGAAGATAGCTGCTTAACCCCAAGCATTTGCTCTACAGAAAGGGTCCACTTTAATAAGAGAGTTAGACAGGAAATGGTACAAACTCAGTGACTCACCCTCATTAGCTCAGCATTCCTAAATGCCTTGTCACTTTAGTGCAACAGCTCTAAAAGTGTGTGCGTAATGCTCCATATCTATATATTGATTTTTATAAATACACAGGTCTGTAGCAACATGCATATACAAGTGCACAGGTACTTTTAGCAAATTAAGATGTTTTACATGTATTTTAAGTGGGTTGGTGGCTGTGCACCATAGCACAGGTTGTATAGGCTTGAGGGCAGGGGGTGGGAAGAAGGCTGTGGTCTGTGGCCTGAATGCATGCAAAGGCTCTGTGGGGAGTGTGAGGCTTCCTGAGTTCGCTTCTGACACTTCCTGAACATTCCATTGCTAGCTGACCTTTTTTGCGTCTTATTTCCCCCTCTGTCTTGATCATTTTGTAGTGTCTTGTCTCAACTTTTCACACAGGACCTTAGGACACTGAATAAGGAGCCAAAAGTCCTGATGTGGAGGCAGGATGCCTGGAGCAGGCATTGCTTTGCCACCTTGTCCTCAGGAGCTTCCCCTCTGCACTGTTTTTTAAGCCACTCTGGGAAGATGCGAAAATGAAGACCTTTTGCCATCAGTGCCCACAGTCCCATGACAGCATCAATGTTTGTGGGAGCTGACCTAACTTCATGTCACATTTTCCACCTATGGACCACTAGCTTACAAAAAGAGCAGGCAGTCCAGGCAGCTCAAACCTGAATAAGGACATGTTGTAGGACTGGGCTTCTCTGGGCTTCACACTCCCTTGCGTCAAGCATAGAATCTGTCAGAGGTGCTGATAACCATCTCCATTACAGGAAAGAAATGGGGGTGAGAAGTTTGACTGGAAACTACTGTGGAGAGTTTTTCTAAACCACTAGCTGACACAAAGCTATAGGTGTGAAACTGACTCAAAAGAAAGAGAGTTTATGACAGCAAAGAAACCTGTATGGTGAGGGGGGAAATGTGCAAAGCAAAAGCATCCCCTTTGGTCTATTACACTGCACCAAAAGAATATAGACAGTGATGAATGCCACCCTGACATAGGTGTCACAACTTTAGTTTGCATTTGAGAGGTGGGATGTGTAGTTTTTCCAACATAGGTATGGGTCCAACATAGGTATGGGTCCAATATAGGTATGGGTTTCTATTTCAGGTACACTCTGTTACACAAGTGATATGTTCTACTTGATGTAAAAATCACACAAACGAAAGTCTCTAGAGGAAAACTATTGAGCCTTCTCCTTTTCCATGTGATAAGTGGTATGGATTTCATGTTTAGAATTTTTGATCTAGCTGCTCTACAAAGACAGAAGAGACAATGCTTTCCTTTTCTAAACATAAAAAATAAATCTACATCCACGTGATGACCCTGAGGGTGTTTGAGTCTGCAGCTCCTCGAGTCTGGAGGAGCTGCCTCCTAGCTGAGTCTGTTGGGGATTCCTGAGACTTGTTGCAGGATACTCACAGCTCTCCACGGGAAGAAGAAGCTGTAGCTTTCAGAGAACCTCCCTGGGTGTGAATGAGCAGTGAACAGCTGAAACAGAGAAGCCTGGTATTCCTGACTCTATCCATCTTTGGCATTGCCTAAACCACGGCTAGTTATGCTACACATTAAGATTGCTGGGTGAGGAGGAACCATCTGGGGTTTTATTTCTGCCACACACCAGTTCTGCTATTTCACTTTTCTGAAGTGGGAATTATTTGAGATTTTCAGCTTATTTACATGCAATTCAGTGTAATTCCATCCTGTTTGTCTACGGAGTGGGAGGCCAATCTCTTCAGCTGAAAGATGAGGAGGAAACTTTCATCTGGGGAGCTTGAGATATGCACTGATTCTGACTGAAGTTTTTAGAGAGTTAAGCATCCACTGCCTCTTTTCTCTTCATCTCTGAATACTTCTTGGATTATCCATAGCTCTGAAGGCAGTGATTGTACTTGTGGGTTGTTGGTTCCCAGGTTCTACCTGGGAAACTGGCAGCAATGTGCAGTGGGTCAACAAGAGGCAGGAGTTAAAGGAGTTAAGGTCATGAATATCTCTGTTGTAGATAGATCTGGTTGCTAGTGTATTAGGATTGAGTGAGAAGTCCCTGAGGTTAGTGATCTGCAAGTGGTAAGGGGATTCTGTAGGACCAGGAGCAGAAGCTGTTGAGCACGGCCATGCTGGCGCAGTGACCAAACAATTAGGGGAAAATTAGCTACAGCTAAAAAATAAATCCTTTTCCTTGGTCTTTGGAAACGGCAATATAATTTCCTCTGGATATTTTAACCTAGAAGTGTCTGGTTTTAAAGGCTTCATTACCAGAAGTGCTTAGCCCCCATATGTTTGCTGACATTGGTGAATGCTGCAGATGGTTTATACCTGGGAAAGTCATGCTGTTAGATACATGGACCATTTTTTTTCCCCATACAACAGAAAATGTTGAGCAAATATCTTCTCTCTGAAAGGAAATAATAGGCTACTGGGGCTTCTCATTCATCCTTTGTTCCTACTATCCGTTTGCAACCCTGAGTCACAGTGCTTTCCGAAGAGGCTGGCTGCAAGGCAGCTACAGATGTGAGGTGTACAACTTGGCTCATGTAATAACTTCATGGGAGTAAGCTATTTTCTAAATGGGCTCTTGGTAAGAAGGTAAATATTTCTGAGCAGAGATGCCCACCTGCTTTCTTGAATTACAGCTACTACAGATATATAAAAAATCCCAGACAAAACACTCACCTTAGCTATTTATTTTTTCCTGGGGAAAAAGAAATACTTTGTTTAATGCTAGTATTAGTATTAGTATCTAAATATTAGTATCTTAATGAATTCAGACACCACAAACCTCTGTCCTGTGGGGGAGAAAGCTTTGGACCTATTTACCTTCAGGTGTATGTTACCAAAATGCTGCAATTTTGCATTTAATATAACTTGTTCATAATTGTTTTGAGAGTACCTTTTATTAGGCTAGTTTTCTCTCTCTTTCAGAAAGCCATCTACCCTCTGCTTCCCAGGCTGTAGGGAAAGCTTTATAGTTTTACATATTTGGAACTGAATAAAACTAGCTCACAAACTGGATGGGTTGAATTTCACAGCTACAAACCATCTGTGGCTTCTGCTGATGCCAGCAAGTATATGATAAAGAGGGAGCCTGAGAAGAAAATCCACTATGGAGGCACAGCTCCTCCAGTTGCTAACAGTGCTAACAATCTACTGTTGTGCTGGTAACAGGGCTTCATGGATGCATTTCCAGGGCCAGGGTATTTTTCAGAGAGTAAAAATGCCAGAAGGCTACAGCACTTCAGCAGCCAGACACAGATGGCTAAGAACAGAGCAAGAACAAAACTTCTCTCTGCTGAAACTTCTCAATTTCTGAGAATGAGCAGCTTTGGGAATATCCTCCTGCTGTCCCAGGACATTCAAGGTCTTCTTGTATTTTGTAACTTCATTTCCAGCAGAGGAACTTGAGGAATTGCTTGGGAGAAACTGGGCAGCAGTTGAGCCAAGTCTGTCCCCAGACCTGGTGCAAAACTCTCCACAAATAAGCTGCATGAAAAAAGCCTGGCCCCTGAGATGCACAGTGGATGCAGAGCCATGGACACTGCTGCTGCTCCATTTCTTCAGGTAACTCCTACAACTGAGAGGCTCAGTGGCTTGTGCTAAAAGTTTGTGGAGAAATGGGAGCGCCTCTTAAATTGCCATTTGAACTGCTCCAGATGTTTATTGCAAACGCAGCACCAGTGGGTAACCCCAGCTTTGAGAGCTTCCCATGTTCAGTAGGACAGTAAAAGTGGAGGCTGATGTGGGGATGTTGAAAATATGGCATAACCTGCATCTCTCACTTCAGAAAAGGTGTTGGCTGCCTGCAGGCTTCTGGGTTGGTTGTTGTGTGGTTGGCAATTATTCAGTGTAAGGGCTCCTGGTCTGCCTGAGATGACAGCAAACCCTGTGTGGGGTGCAAGGACTCGCACCTCCAGAGACCCTGCTTCCTTCTTAAGAGCTGAGTGATAGAGGAGCGTACTTTTGAGAAGAGAGGCCTTGGTGATGAGGTGGAAACATCGAATGCCTTGTAGTGGGTGCTGCTTCTGCATGAAGGCTTTGGCCACTGCAAGTGTGGGTTTGCATTTTAAATGATGTAGCCTTACTTTGCATAGTAGTTATCCTTGTACAAGAAGAAGTAGGAGAGTTGACACAGCCATGTGGAACTGCTTCCTCTTCTTGCAACCTTTTGGAGCCCTCCTCTGCCTAAAGACACCAGGTGAACAGACTTTAAAGGCAGAGTCTTCTCTACCTTTTAAAATATGCTTCTACTAAAAAGCAGAGTCATATTTTGCTGAGTTAATCATAGGAAT